GCTGACACATTTCATTACATTCCCCGTAACCGTAGAAAAGGAATCCTCTTGGCCATAGTATCCACCTGACACTAAAATTTGATTGATAGTTGTATTTTCTTAATTGCTATCTTGATTATGGCTCAAAGAAGTTACTACTAATAAAGTCTGTCTACCACGCATATTTCGGGATGAAATTGGGAGATCAGGATAAGAAATGGGCGCCAAATATTTTGTGTGTCTTGCTATCTTCATATGACTCAGTGGCTCAAGGGCAAAAGGCAAGATGCTCTTTGCAATCCCCATGGTGTGGAGGGAACCGAAGGATCAACCGACAGACTGCTACTTCTGTCTAACTAGTGTCATTGGATTTTACAAGCGAAACAAGAACAAAATTCATTACCCCGATCTTCCATCAGCTATTCGACCTGTTTCACATGATTGGACCTCACCCATTCCAGTGTCTCCATTGGACATGTCACCGACGATGAGTATTGATTCCGCATCGTCAACTTCATCTGATTCTGACATATGTGAAGATTTTGAAGCTGATGATGTCAACCTACACTTGAATAAACAAGCAGAGATGAATTACTTGGCACGTGACCTGCGCTTGCCTAAAGACAAGGTCGAGTTGTTGGCATCTCGGCTGCAGGAGTGGAACTTACTTGCTGCAAACACTAAGATTACCGTATGCATAAAGCGAAGTGTTAAACTGTCCGGTTTTTATGACACGAGAGAAACTTTTTGTTAATGCTCCGACGTGGAAGGAGATTGGCGTGAGGCATACCAGTGAGGAATGAGGTTTGTTCATTGACTCATCCAATAGTAGTCTTAAGACTATTTTGCTCCACAAAGGACATGTGTACCCAACTGTGCCTCTGTTGCATGTCACTAATAGGAAGGAGACTTAGGAAAGTATTCAAAAGATACTCACTGTAGGGAACTACGATAAGTACTGTTGAAACCGCTGTGCTAACTTCAAAGTCATTGAACTCTTCATGAGTATGCAAGACCTCAGTAAAGATTACTGTTTCTTGTGCCTGTGGGACAGTAGAGCCACTCAACAGCACTACACAACAGAAAAGTGGCCAGAGAGGACGAAGTACGTTGCAGGGGAAATCAGTGTAAAGCATACCTCCTCGTACAACCTGATCAGATCTATCTACTACCCCTGCACATCACACGTCATCAAAACCCTCAAGCGAGATGGTCTTGCGTTTCAACACCTGAAACAAATGTATCCGAAGATCAATGGTGTGAAGCTTTAAGAGGGGATACTTATTGGGCCTGATACTCGTCGGATAATGGCATATAGCGCTGTCGAATGCCACTTGACTTCATTTGAATTAGAAGCGTGGAGATCATTCAAGGCAGTGTGCAGGATTTTTGGGTAGAACAAAGGCAGTGAACTACAAAAACATTAGTAAAAAAGCTGCAGTTTATCAGGCTGATAGTACTCGAATGACAGCCAAGATTCACCTTCTACTTGACTTCTTCCCAGAGAGGATAGAATGCTTTTACTTACGGGTACTTTTTAGTGGCAAGAACTTCACCGAACCAAGTATGGTTCGAACACAAAAACTGCGGGTGGTGACCTTAGTTTAAGTGAAAGCGGAAACAGAGGTACAGGAACACGGTTCTATCTGGAGGCCCAAGATGAGGACGGTAACGCAAGCTATAGCGCTATACGACAAACCAGCAAGGAATCAGACGAATGAGATTACATGCGAATGAACTAAGACAGCGTCGATTTATAGGTAATGATAGGTGGGATCAGGAGAAAGATAAACACACGCAGACCTGTACACATTGTGAATTCCTAATTCACCGATGTGACAGCGACCATTTATTTATAAGTAATATACTTTTACTTCACGTTTGTAGCCATAACGGTTAGTTAAATTTTCACGATTGACAGAATGCATTTAGCGAATTCACCGATGAACTGTTTACGCTCCACTCTATGAATATTTTCAAACAACTTTGTTTACTTATAGAAATTGATTTGCATAACATAAACATCCACAGGCCTTTTTAACACTCTACATATCACACAAGTAAGCAAGCTGAATACGTGGGACCATCCCTCTTCCTAATAACGAATTTTTCACCTATTTGTAAGTTACACGTTCCATTTTGCTTTATCAGCAATAAATCGGAATACTTGTAGCTCGGGTGATCTGTTCAGATTTTGTTCTGTTCTCCGAGCTGAACATTTTGCTTTATAATCACAGATTTGAAATCATTGTTACTTCGGCACAAGCTGTTCTGCCCACCATCCTTACGACATTACCCTAATCTGTGACAGCTCACAAAGGTGCCAAGCGGCACTGGACAGATTAGCACTGGCTGTCCGTCACTTCGGCCTTTGCTTCGCACCCTCGAAGTGCAAAGCGTTCCTCCAAGCTTGGTCTGGACCACCTCTTACGCTGACCCTTGGTGGGGATCAGCTAGAAGTCGTTCAAAAATTCAACTACCTGGGAAGTTGTATTAGTGCCTGTGGGATTGAAGATGGCATCAAGAATCGTATAGCAAAAGCTCGAGGCGCTTTTGCTGACCTTCGCCATTTATGGCACCGGCGCGACATCACCTTTGCCCTGAAGGATAGACTGTACAATGCAGCGGTACGTTCGACCTTACTGTACGGTTGTGAAACCTGGCCCCTTAAAGCCGCGGATCTGAAGAGGCTAATTACGTTCGACCGCTGGTGCCTTCGCAATTTAGCGCACATCTGGTGGGAACGCCGAGTAAGCAACGAGCGTGTTCGACGCCTTGCTTACGGCACAGGAAAAGAAAATGAACCGCTCAGCACCGTTATTTCACGCATCAGGCTCCGATGGTTGGGCCATGTGTTACGCATGCCAGCCCACCGACTCCCGCGACGTGCGTTGTTTGCGCGCCGGGGGTGTGGATGGAAGAAGAGGAGTGGCCAAACGATGACTTGGTCCAGAGGAATGAAGCCCTTCACTACGAAGCTAGCCTCGGTTGGAGCGTCTCGGCTCCCTGGTTGGGGTCCGAAAGACGATGAACACGTTTGGCTGGATATACTTGCTGATATGGCTAGGACCTGATCTCAGTGACGTTCGTGCTGTGAGTTTCTTTGTCCCACCTATCCTACTTAGCTTCCCCTTCCAACCAAGATCTCACTATTTAGCCTTAAATAATTTTGTATAGTAATTTTCTTTTTGCCGCATAGTAGCAGGCTGGTAGCTTACCGGAACGATTCCCATTCGATAGGGGTAGGTCAGCTGGCTTGCACCTGTTGCATATCTTTCTCCTATTTTTACTCTATATATTGCGGTACAATAGCTGAGGTGTTTCCTACCTCTAGCTAACGTGCATAATGATGATGCCCACCGTCCCTAACCCATTTTCTGTTGGTGTTCTTTTAAAGGACACTATCTAAAATGTGATTTAAGCAATGAGTAAATTAAGACAGACTTGGATTGGGCAAAATGATTCAAAAACAACGGCTTATGGTTTTTTATGAAACAGAAATAACAAACATTATAAATAGTACGTTAAGTTATTGTCTAAATAACATGTAAAGTGTTCTTAAAGACGCGCGCAGAAAATAGGCTAACTCTCCCAGCACAGACGGCGCCATTAAACAGGTGTCAGCGTCTCACCGTAAAACAGCCATTTCTGTAGTCAAACACACAACAGACGCAATGCGGCCAGGTTGCACAGACGAGTGCTGGTGTACGTCGGTTGGTCAGAATCTCGAAAATCTTCAGGACACAAAGCCGTTCGATAGTTCGCCTCATATGCGGCGGCTTTCTGATTGGCTCTACGTGTGATGTGTGAAAAGGAACCAAATCTACCCACAAACAGCTGACGGAAAGCGTGATGAAAAGTGCCAAACAGTTTGAAATATGTTTGCGAAGGCCACCAAATAAGGAACGGACTATCAAGTATGAGCACTGGCGTTCTACGATTTGCCGCTAGGACATTAGTGATCTTGATACGAAAAACAAAATGTTTCGGACACAAATAAAACGTAAAACCCGCAGTCGGTAGTGCAAAAGAGTATTCCATCGAGAACAGCAATGGCCGAATTTGAAAGCCCTTCTTGGTGAGACCAGCACTTGGCGACCGGCCAACACCTCAGGAAAATAAAGAACCATGGCCAAATCCCTCGAGAAAGCTTTGTGAGTCCGATGAGTTCAGTGCTCGGCATTTTCGCGGCGCATATGGGGTGATGTGTTAACCTGCGTTTGTAAACTCGGGCAACCACCCACCATATGCTGCCACCGGTAGAACCGTAACTACTCTCCAGTCGTCGTGCAGTAAATGATCACACGCAGCAAGTGCAAATAGGTAACTCGAAAGATTCGAGAATAAAATGCTATTTATTTATTGTGAACCCCACAGGCTTCTCAGGAAGGAAAAAAACTCAGGGTTCGCATTAACCTTAGAAATAATATGTAATGCATGGGAAAAAAACTATACCTTCCAACCCAAGAGCTGCGCGATTCGGCATACACCATCGTCAGCATCACCACGGAACAGGACGTCCACTCTGTTCTCTGAATCATCCCACGGGAGGTTGTTCTGTGATGGGGGGGGGGGGACACAAATGTGATCGACGGATCAAGTGATGGATGACGCACAAGAAGCGCTGGGCACAACGCAAAGAGGTGGATAAGCGTTCCGTGTAGTGTGACGCAAGTAGCGATGAAAGTTTACCCGAAAAGAATTTTTAACCAATTACTCAATTGGCCTTGATTTTCTCACTGAAATAGGAGTATTTGCTTTGCTGAATACCAGCATTGCTCGTGATTCGCTGAAAATCAGCAAACTGCCTGCGTTTCATATGGATGTGGATGTTGGTAGCTTGGATACTTTAGTCGATGATTGAATTTTTCGCTGAGGTTTGCAATGTGCTTCACAAGTGACCCAGGGTTCTGTCCTCATTCCCAGCTATGCCGTTAGCTCAGTAAACGATTCGACCACCAAATGATGTCGTTTTTTTCGCTGTTGGTGAACCGAAGAGGCAGTATTGTGAAAATGTGTGCCAATGGAAGCTTAAAAGTTAAGAAACGGCAAATTCCCTAACACATGCATGGAGTCATACCAAGAGTAAAAAATAAACGGAAGCGTATTAGAACCCCAGTAAGAACACAACCCCACGACGAGACGCCTATCTCAGAGGGTTCGTGAACACATCCCGGCATGGTTTTACAGAGGCGAAATGAGGTCTTCAGGCAGCTCTATCATGTCGCACCTCCTTGAATGTGGCCATACAGCTTCAGAGAATGACTTCAAAGTCATTTACTCATTACCTGAACACTTCTCCTAAGGATCCCGCAAACAGCTCTTATCC